TTCTTTACAGAAATATTATTATAAATACTTAAGTGGTTAAAAATTGTTCTTTAAATGTGCTAACTTTATTTTTTAGAATATTTAAATGGAAAAAATATAAGAAATGTGATATTTTGGAAAATAGGCTTTAAATGATTGGAATAAAATAGATTGATCTGTTTTTTTTTTTAAATTAGATTAATCGATCTTCAATACAAAAATTTCAACAATTGGAAGTCTCTGCTTATGTTTTATGTTCAAAAGTTGGTGGAATGTCTCCACCGACTACATTTAATCCACTGTCAATCTTCTGCAAGTCAAGGATTCAACGACAACAAAGACCAAATATGAAGACAATATTAAATTTGGGTACGCTGCGATGTGAAATTATGGTAATATTTGAGTTGTATGGGAGGAAAAGATACATATATTTTGATCTGCATAAGTTTAATTTTATTTCCAAGTTTATGTCCAATAAAAATTAGTTAATATAAAAAAAGAATTATATAAAGTTCGAATATTTTAGACAAACATCCTTTTCTTAAATTTCAAAAGGCACTGTACAGTTTTGCCGAAACATCCCCATTGTTTCGTGATTTGCGTATCAAATCTTTAAAGTTCAAATTTTAACTCATTTAGAACACTCTCTCTGACTCTCTTGAATTGGACTATCAATACAAGTAATTTGTGTAATTATCATAAATACTCAATGGTCTAACCAAACCAAAGAGAATCAATATACATTAAGAAAAAACAATTATGGAATTGATGAATAAATGGGAACTAGAGAAACAGAAATAAGCAACTGCGAAAATTTCAATCACAAATGGCAGCAAAAACCATCACCACCATCAACCATCAAAAAGCAGGGCCAAGCTTCGAATGGCTTCTCAATGGTGGATGAAGAAGTGGGTGGAGGAAACAGAAGGAGAAAAGGTTCTGACTGAAAAGTTAAGTTTCACTAACAAATTGCAGGCAAAAGCCATCAGCCATCAACAAGCAAAAAGTTGAAAACTGATGTTCGCAAATCAAACCAATCCTAGAACTATACTATGAAAACGATGCAGTTGGATCTCAGAAAACACTATAATCTTCAACTCCAGATAGGAACTTGCAGATAGATAACGCAGTTTTCCATTAACATCATTGATCCAAGGACTGCATTAGTAAAGCAAATAACCAAACAAAAACAAACATTCCAAAATCTGTGAGAAAGGCATGAAAACAGAGAGACAAACAGATCAAACAGCCAAAGTTGAAGAAAATGAAGCAGATGATCGATTAAGAAAACAGATCTCAGATATTATCATTTATCTTCAATTCCAAAAAGGAAATTGCAGATAGATAACGCAGATTTGTAAGCGCATCATAGATCCAGATAAAATTAGAAAGAAAACAAAAATGTTTGATCTACAAAATTAAGGAGTAATAGCATCTCAGGAACAATATTCCCCGTGAGTTTCTTCACAGTAAATCAAAGTGCAAGGATAACGAATAAGATTGCCTCATCATCGATGCTACCGGAAAACAGAAGATTAAACGGCAAAAGAACAGTAAAATACAGAGTAGAAGAAATAAATCAACCTAGAAATATCTTATGAGGGTCTACAAGGAGAGAAACCGTCGCCGGCGACGGAGGGCGGCCGCAGAGACGAAAGGCGAAGAACGGTGGCGTCAAGAAAACGAACCCTAGTACTGTTTCTGAAAGACATTTATTAGTGATGATCGATGAAGCAAGCATTACATAAGGTGCTACAGGGACAGGAGTGTAATTTTACCCCTGGGTATTTAGGGTTTTTTCTGCAGACGACGAGTCAACTTAATTAAATTTGCCGATTATTTATTTCTTTTTTGAGAAAAAGAAATACAATTTTTAAGAGCAGAATATTCTTCTTCAATTTCTAAATTTGACGAGTATTTTCAAAATGTTGTTAACTAGATTAGAAGAGAAATAAATGGTAAATAAACTGTTTTTGAAAAGTTCTAAAATCTCATTTGAATCTCTCAAAATTATTTCATTTTAGTCCATTATTTTTTAAAATATTTGATTCATAAACTTTCAAAATATCTAATTTAGTTATTTAACTTTAAAAAATGTAATCATTTTAAGTTTTGTTGTTGATTTGCCCTAATGTGTATTTCTCATAAAAAAATAATCGGAATGTGTATAACATCCATTAGGTGCATTATGCACTTTTAATTGATTTTGACGATTGAATTTCCCCTCTATCCCATAAATCTATCTAGTCGCTAAATGCTCAGATCTCTCGACGCGATACATAGGAGGCTGGTTTTTCTCAACATGGTGTATATTACGAAAAACCTTTCGATACAAGATAGGATCATTATATAAAAGAAGAGTAKACCACAAATCCAGTGGCATAACATGTTGGATCATATTTGATGAATGTATATCACGTAATTGAAGAAAGAAACGAGGAAAAGAATCAACTTTTTAGAGCTGTCTAACTAAAATAGACACTTTCTATTAGTCATGATGCTATTAATATATTTACCAGTAAACTATGTTGATGTCAACTGAAAATCTAAATATTTATAAAATATGAAATTAGAAAATAAAATTCTCAAACTGATTAAGCTATTAATTCTATTCACAATTCGAATCTAATCTCCAAACAGTTGTATTAAAATAATAATAATAAATAAAGCTAAAATTTTGAAGGTCGAAGGAACTCTTGGAGATCAATTCGTAGCAAAGAAGACGACGTCGTGGATGAATAAAAGCCACGAAAATGTGCTCAAACTTCCGCCATTGGTTCCATGGCGGAACTTTCCTTTTCCAACCCCTTCACCAAGCCACCCTCTTTCTTCCCAATGTATAAATCGGCAACCCTAAACTTCCATCACTAGCAGTACCTAAAATTCCCAAGAAATGGGTTCGGTTTTCGGAAAGATCAGCGTCGAAACTCCCAAGTTTGAGGTGATTCAATCCACCGCAGACTACGAAATCCGCCTATACGAACCATCGGTGGTGGCCCAAGTCACCTACGATCCCTCCCAATTCAGGGGGAACAGAGACGGCGGCTTCACTCTACTCGCCAAATACATCGGAGCCATCGGCGAGCCACAGAACACAAAGTCCGAGAAGGTGGCCATGACGGCACCGGTCATCACCAAGTCGGAGACCATTCCGATGACAGCGCCGGTGGTGACGGGCGGCGGTGGTGGGGAAGGGAAGCCGGTGACGATGCAGTTCGTGCTGCCAAGCAAGTACAAGAAGGCAGAGGAAGCCCCTAAGCCGGCAGACGAAAGCGTTGTGATTAGAGAGGAAGGGGAGAAGAAACTCGCCGTCGTGAAATTCAGTGGAATTGCGACGGAGGGAGTGGTGGCGCAGAAGGTGGAGAATCTAAAACAGAGCCTGGAGAAAGATGGGGTTAAGGTGATTGGGGATTTTGTGTTGGCTAGATACAACCCACCATGGACTTTACCTTCTCTCAGAACCAATGAAGTTATGATACCAGTAGAATGATTTCTAGTGTTTATAAACCATTGTGTGAATTGCTACTTGTTATATCAAAGAATTTTCAGTTCCAAACATGTAGTTTAGTTGCTCCGTTTTGAATAATACTCTCATTTAGTTTTCTGGATTACTCTAAACACTATAGATCAGATTATGMACTTTTAACCAAAGAAATTTTTGGGTCACTGAATATGCTGGATGATTCTTCCTACGAGTATGTGTTTGCAAAAGATAGTTGATCGGTAAGCTTGCAGAAATAACACAGACAAGCAAACATGAAATTTACGTTCTTCTGTCATTCAAGAACATGCAAACAAACATATACAAGTAATGAATCAACCAGAGAAAAGCTTGATTACGATGATGATGATGTTGAAAAGAATGAGGGGAAGTCGGAGGAATTGGCATGCATGGATGAGCCCTATTACCTGCCCTTTCAGCGTGTTTCTTCTGTCTCTTGACATCTCTGCCAATGTCCATCCTCTCCGCCCGAGAAATCGATCTTCGTTTAGAATTGCCAACGCATTTGCAAACAGCAAAAGCCCTTCCAGAAGGCTCCAGAATCCCATATCTGCATGTGTGTGCAATCAGAAAGTTTCTCGAAACATTCGCAGACTCATGTTTCGAATTCACCTAAGAACAAGATCAAGCAGAAAGRAAAACACGTATATTGGACTGAATCGCGAAGAAAATCAAAATCTTGGGACCCAGAAAAGTTTCTGTGATGAACTTCGTAGTAATTCATGACCGGAGATTGAAACTGAACATAACATAACCAAACAGAACTTCTTGTTTTCTCACCTTTCTTCCGACGAATTCAGAGCGAGCGAGACAGAGCCGATTTGTTGAGTGATAAAAAATCGTCTTCAATCGAGAGAACTTCTTGAAGAGCAGAGGTGACTGATTAATCGGGCTCGTTAAGTGGAAGAAAGGATTTGAGGGGGATGATCGCTTTAATTGAGCGGTTGACAGAGATTTGCAGATGAGGAAGTGCGGTTATAGCCGTCGGATTAGCGTCAGGCCTTGATAACTCCGACAGCTTCTACCATTTGTTGAGAAAAGACAGCCAACTCTGACAGTAACTTTTCTTTTTGGGTTTTTTAGAGAAAARAATATATATCGCGGCACGATAAACTCTGTACAGGCAAATATGGATAAACCCTAAAAATTGAAGCTCTCATGGCTTCGTTTCAGCTACTTCCTGCTACCATTTCTCTTCCCCATCTTCATTTCTCCCGTTTTCTTTCAAACCCATCACATTGTAGATATCAAACTACAGAACTTCTAAATCCTCTAGATTCCTTTCTGATTTTCAACTCGCGTTATGTGCAGAACTCGTCTAAATCTCCGAGACTAAACCCAGCAAGAGCTTCCGTAGGTGACGACGGCAATGGGGTTGTGGAAACGGCCAGCCCCACTCGCCGAGGAAGAAAAAAGGGGATGACAAAATCGTCATCTTCTTCAACTACTACTCAAAAGAAAACAAAGCGTTCTAAGAAAACCCTAGTCGAAGATGAAACCACAGAAGGTAACCCCTTCGAGCAGGTCTCGGAAGACGAGCCAATTGATTCAATAGCAGAGAAATACGACGATGGAATGGACTTTCCGTACGAAGATCCTCCACTGATCTGCTGCTTTGGCGCAGCACAGAAAGAATTCGTGCCCTCAGTCCGCGTACACGATAACCAGATGCACGCCGATAAGTACTCGGAGTGGAAAATGCTCCAATGGGATCCGCCAGAGTTTGCTAGGGCACCCGGCGGAGCGCCGTCCAACGTTGCAATATCGCACGTCAGGCTCGGTGGAAGAGCGGCGTTTATGGGGAAAGTTGGGAAGGACGATTTCGGGGACGAGCTCGTGTTGATGATGAACAAAGAGAAGGTGCAGACGCGAGCTGTGAAATTTGATTTAAATTCTAGAACGGCCTGTACTTACATGAAAATCAAGTTTGAAGATGGGAAGTTGAAGATGGAAACGGTGAAAGAATCGGCGGAGGATTCTCTGCTCAGCTCCGAACTAAACCTTTCGGTTCTCAAGGAGGTAGATCCATTCGCTCGAATTACTCTCTGTATTCTTCCCAGAGGATTCAAAATAAACTTCTTGAAAAGTGAAATTGGGTTTTGTTTCATTGCAGGCAAGGATATTCCATTTCAATTCAGAAGCTTTGATGTCAACTGCGATGGAATCAACGCTCTTCAAGGCCATCCAATTGTCCAAGAAGTTTGGAGGGCTCATCTTCTTCGATTTGAACTTGCTGCTGCCTTTGTGGAGATCGCGCGACGAAACTAGAGAATACATCAAGAAAGCCTGGAACGAAGCTGACATTATCGAGGTCTCGAGGCAAGAACTGGAGTTTCTGCTAGATGAAGAATACTATGAAAAGAAAAGAAACTACAGGCCTCAGTACTATGCTCAAACTATTGAACAGACCAAGAATCGGCGAGACTATTATCATTACACACCGGAGGAGATATCACCATTGTGGCATGATCGCCTCAGGCTGTTGTTCGTGACGGATGGAACCATGCGGATTCATTACTATTCTCCTTCGTTTCACGGCGTAGTGATCGGTACCGAAGATGTGCTCATCACCCCTTTCACCTGCGATAGGACTGGTTCTGGTGATGCTGTTGTGGCTGGGATCATGAGAAAGCTGACTACTTTCCCAGAGATGTTCGAAAACCAAGATGYCTTGGAAAGGCAGCTTCGATTTGCCATCGCAGCTGGAATTATTTCGCAATGGACAATTGGTGCAGTGAGAGGATTTCCTACTGAAAGTGCAACACAGAATCTGAAAGAGCAGGTCTATGTACCATCAATGTGGTAGAACACAATAATATTGGATTCAAAAGAAGCAACTGTTTGGTTTTGGGTTTGCTTTTTTCTCAGTTGAGTCGGARCATTCCATAGAATGTACAGTGATTCTTTCTTCTCAGATGTCAAAGCYCTTTTAAGTCAACAGTTAGCAAGTAGTTTAGTCCAGACATCAGAGTTGAAGGTGTTTAAAAAATGAAGAAAATGGGAATCATGGAAGAAATGGCAATTTACCTTTCCTTTTCCAAATGTTTACATGAAGAATCAGGTGGGATAAAGTAAAGAATAACGAATGCAAAAATTTTTTTTTTCTTCTCCACTATTTGACAGGGAAGCTGTCTGTGTAAAACTAAACCTGTTTTGCTATTAAAAACTATACCTGAACTGACTCTAAATCGCCTACCATAATCCTACCCTCCATCAATTTACCTAAAAAAAAGAGAAAATTTGCACTTCTGCTCTTTTGTAAGCTAAAGGAAGCTAGCAAAACCTCGGAATGATCATCCCTGTGGGGATGTATGAACTCATGGCAGGGGAATGGCTGTCAAATTTGAGGGACGCATAATAGCCGTGGGTGCCCTGGAGCAATGGGCACACCAATCATCAATTTAGCAGAAGAAGCAACAAGTTTGCAGTAAAATCATAATTCTATCTCTGCGATAAAGCCTGAAGACTTCGTTTCTTTTCATTTTCTAGTCTCAATATTCTGTTCTGAGACTTGTTGCAAATACAGCCGGGGAGAGGATTAGCATAGAAATTCTCCTCTAGCCGCGGTGTCTCTCCGACCAGTCTCAAATATGGGGCCCCGAGTCTTTCTTTATGAAACTCCTTCACTTCTCTGGAGAATTCTTCCCAAGAAATGACCTCCTGCTCCAGTTGATCAATCAACCTGACTAGATTTTGCCTAAAAAATCGTAAGTACAACAATATCAGATTCAGAAGTCAAATCAACAGACGAAGATAATAGTGTTCTTTCAAAAGGCTCTGTGAGAATAAACCTGTCAGGATTTATAGTCTTTCGGAATCCTTCAAACCTCCTATGGCCCTGCACTGCTTTAGCCATGTTTCCATCATAGGTATAAACAAAGACATCGCTCTCTACTGCCACGATATAATCCAAGGCAGCCATACGATTCTGGTACGGCTTAAATGGTGCCAATTCCTCCTCAGTTGCAAGAGTGGAATGAGAAAAGACATTGGGGTATTCTGATCGAAAGGCTGCCATGCTATCGCTGCCATAAATCTCCCCAGCAACTATGTAGATGTTCGTGGCTGAAGGGTAACCCAAGGCCTTGAGCAATATGGCTGCCTCCATAGGGGTCATTGGGCATCCCCCTAGAAGTCGCTTCTCTTTTGCATCTATCTCTTTCTCCTTCCAATGCTTCACATTGTATCTCATGACTTTGAGCTCCTCATCTTCCTGTGCAGTAAGGTTGTGGCTGCAGCCAGTGAATGCAAGCATGTCTTTYTCATACCTGAAATCAAGATTGCTCAATTTGGTTCCTCTTTTATGAATATCAAATAACACTAGAAGTAATTGAACAGGTGAGAATACCTCAGATGGAGAGCGATATATGGTTCCCCATCTTTTCTCAGTCTATCAACTAAGCGCTTGCCAAGATCCTCAATCTCCTTGGTGAAGCGTAGAGCCTCGTAATTGGCACGGCATCGGAGCTTCTGAACAGAAGATGCCAAACCGTTGTTAGCAAGTCGAGAATCAGTATGGGTGAGCATCATCACTTTGTGTCGCTTTAACAAATGCAGCATCTCTCCTCGGTAATAACTAGCCTGCATTTAAGTAGATGGTGAGAAATAACTTCCAAAGAGTTCAAAGAGTAATAATTTGACATCTAAAATTGATGTTTCTTAAACCTTGGACCAGGAAATAGGAGCCTTGACAAAGGGTTTCGCCGTTGCCCACCGGGCAGGCAGGGACTCAACGATAACGATGTCATCTTTTAGAACATTAATGAAGTGTCTCCAGTCAAAAATATCTTTGAAATCGCTGCAGAAACCAAAGTTCATAAATTATACGCAAAAGCCAAAATCATGTCTAGTAATGACTTGGAGAAAGCAAGTACCTTGGATCCGTCCAAAATGACTCGTGATCAAGGGAAGGAAGAACAAGTGTAGCATTCATAATCTTAGCAACAGCAACCATATCACATATCTGAGCAAGTAAAGTCGATTCTTAGTTTGAAAAGTCCATGGCTACGATTTAGCTGACAATTTTGACTCGGTTAAAGCAGAAAAAAACAGGTGAAAACACCTCACCCCTGTTCTCATCTGATTCAGTCCCCCATTGGCATGTACAAGAAGATAACCATTTGTTTTAGAACTAGTTCCTACAGAACCAAGTTTAGAAGTAAGAAGTAAGCTCAATGGGTCCTAAAATAAATCCATGCCTTACAGGACAATGAAACTCTTAGACATACTTATCCGATTCCTAGTTCGGGCAATGCACTGATAGAAGTTGTCGCTTCTTGGTTTCATCCAAATTTCAGGCGTCTGCAAAGCAAAATACCAAACTTATTCATCATAATCAGATTTCGAATATAGATAAATTTTACTGAATTGATTTGTTCAAGGCACAAGAAACGAGATGATGGGTACTAGTTAAAAACAAAGCAGAGGAGTCCAAAAAAGAAGTCCGTTTGAGAATCTTGGCTTCAGCTACGTAAAAACCAAAGGCCCAAAGCGACAAACATAACGGCGAATTAATTATGGAGGAACAAAAAAAAAAAAAGCAAGCAATATTCTGGTTGTGAAAAGTTACTTGGTTTGGATGCATTTATTGCCACACCTACTACTATTTATTGGAGGCAAAACTTCACCGGACGATTAAAATCCATCAATACCACTGATATGCAATTCCAGAAACAGTTCAATGCAAGGAAACAAGATGCCAAAACCAAAAATAAAAACAATGGTTTTTTATTAGAGTCAAAAACAATTAATTCTCTGGGCTAATAAAAAGATTGATACATCATTCCATTTTTGCCATTTTTAATTCCTCGACAAGGGCCATGCATCACGCCAACTTCCCTTCTGACTAAGTTTGGATATCATTCAATTGTATTGGCAGTGGAATATTTCCCTTTTCCAGAACGAATTAGAGCYAAGAATGAGAGATGAAAACAATTAAAAAATTCCATTCGCGATGGCAAAAAATTTGAAGCACTTACAGAAACTTTCTCTAGAACGCGCTTGGGCATGGCGGCTTCGTCCTCAGCGACGGCCCTCTGCGCCATTACCCAATCCTCTTTGAAGGTCTGAATAATTAATTGTCCTTTATCTATGATCTTCCCGTTAATCTCCACATGTGAATTGAGGAAGGAGAACTTCAGGAACACCGATACAACTGCCAGAAACAGCAAAATCCCGAAWATCTTACGGCCGAAGTTCCTCCCCGATCCTAACGACTGCAGGATCATGGCCGTGGATAAAAACCCTTCTTCAATCCTGAGAATCCACGCCTCGGGAACCCAACACAGGGCCCGGCTCCGTAGCAGAAAGTGCCTAATCACGGGATGGTGAACATGGAGGTGGTGATGGTGATGGTGGGACCCGCCGATGGAGCCGTTGGAATTGTCTTCTTCGTCATACAAATCTGAAAAGTTCGAAAGTCGGCTATCGGAGTCCAAAAAGTCCGCAACGCGTCGTCTCGTCGTCCCGCCGTGCCGCGGACTTCCATTGCCGGAATTGTTCGGACCGCCGGACGCCATCGCCGGAAAACTTTAATTTATAAAACAAAAACACACACACAACAAATTCCTGCAATGGGTCCGATCCAGATAGAAAAATGTAACACAGAGTTGAAAATTCCGAATGTCGATTTTCCTTTCCTCTGATTATGGTTTCGAAAAAAAGAAGAGGCTGCCCGTATTGTATGGCTGGCAGCGGCGTAGAACAAAATTTCGGTGTTTATATATAGCTGCGCTCCCCGATGCGATTGCCCTCTCCTCCCCTTCCTTCTCCTTCCCCCTCCCCACTCCCTCTCTCTCTCTCTCTCTCTCACTTTCTCTCTCTAAACCCAAATGATTAGATTTTAATTTATAGCCCACATTCTCCGCCCCGTAGGAAAAAGCTCCTTTTCCCATTTTCCAAACTTTGGACCAAATTACCCTCTTCGACCGCAACTTAAAACCACCTCTTTATTATTTTTTTAATTTAATTATTATATTTTTACTATCTATTGAATTTAATAACAGAGGGGGATAGGAGTCGTCAAATATTTTCTTTAAACTTTTTATAGGTTTTGAATATCATTTTTATTTCTATATTATCACATAGTTTAGTTTATTTAAATTAAATATGGGGTGTGATTAAACTTTTTATGGGTCTCGAAATAATTTTGTTCCTATATTAGATGAGATTGATATTGTGTTGGTTTTAAATTGTATGCACACTAGTGGAAATTTAAATTACTTGTAGATATTATGTTTTTTGATATTCTTTTTTTAATTAAGATTTGGTCATTTAGTTAGATTAAGGTTGATTTACTTAATAAAAAACCTTCAAATACATATTGATTTTTTTATACTCCTCCTATTTTCCTTTTGTTAAAAATAGTGAAAACTGGAAATAATATATATATATTTTTCTAAATGGATGTTGTTGAATTTGTTTAAAAGTTTTTTAGGATGACTATTTTGTGATGTACAATCTTGGAAGTAAATTAAGTTCCATTGATGGAAAAAGTCTATTTTGATACGGTTGGTCCCATAAAACTGAAAAAGACAATTTTATTGTTTTCAAGGAGTTCTTCAACATGAAATTTGTATACTTTTTAATAGAATCACAATATCTCTGATTTATTTCGATCATTCAATTGATTTTTTCTTTATTTAAAGTCATTCAGAGATATAAAATATAATATAATCTTATTGATCAAGCAAAGTAAGCTTCACGTTTTATATCAATTTAGAAATAATCGATTTAGATAAAATTAGAGATTTTGTTTGAAATGTTTTACAAAATATTATTTGAAATAAGAACCAATATGGTAGTAAATTWAAATGTGTAATTTTCAAAAAATAAGATTTAAAAATATAATAGATTTTGGTATAATGCAATTTCTTTAAAACTTTTTAAAATTAAACTTGTTAGTRTTAATATCTTTTATATTGGTTTATTCTCCGGCCCGCCTCTAGCCCTGTTCTAATCATACGTCCATAGTCTCTAATTCTTCTCAAATCTTTTAATTGCTTTTTATTATATTTATTAACCCTTATCTTCATATATATATATATATATATATATATATATATATAATTAATAAAATTGTATAGTTCATTTGTTAGGAATCCTATTGTTAGGAATCCTAGAGATTGGAAGTTGAATCTTGATTCCATATTGTTGCTGTAGGTATATATGTATATAATTTATCAAGTAGGGGTATAAAATTAACTATTAAATATAATAAATAACGTAATAAATTGTGTTCCCTAAATTTAAAATTTAAAATATGTATTTTATATATATTTTAAAATTTTATTAAAATTTTGAAGACTATTTCTTCAAAATCTGTCATCAACTTTCAAAGTGACTTATAGGGTGGAAAGGAGTAAARCAGTATTATTGAATTATGGTTCTAAAAAATAATAAATTCAACAATTGTGAGAYGAGAATCTTCMATCTCAAATAAAGCAATTAATGTTTTATCTAGAACTATAATATAAAAAAACTTGATATTTAGGAAAATAAAACAAAAATATATACACAACAAAAATGAAAATCACTGTCAATAGTTATAAATAATCAAGATTATACCGGTAAACCTACAATACTAATATATTGGGATGATATTAGAGAAATGAACGGAAACTACAAAGAGATATTTATGTTTCCAAAGTATTTGTCCAGCCAAACATATATTAATCTTAATCAGATTTTTTAAAAATTAATGGGACTAAATTATCATAATTTTTCTGTAAAACGACAGCACTTTGATAATAAAATAAGAAAATAACTTGTGGATGCCCATACTACCTTTTTCAATGACCGTTAGATAATATACTTCGGTTTACAGCTAGGGGCAAAGGAGGAATTTTGCTTTCCTTTTTGTTTTGATTTTATTTATTATGGGGTGGGCAGCTGTTMTTTATGCATTGGAACGTTCCTCTCAATTCGACTGTTTTCAGCTCCACAAGGAAGCCGGTGCGTGGCATGGAATCGGACCGACATCCACTTTTGTAAGCGACACGTGTCGCAATCAGACTGTACTGATGCAGTTTCTGTCCCCACAGCATCACCTTTTTGCCGTCACATGATTGCGTTGATCGATGATGAAGTTTGGTTGAAGCTTTAGCCGTTGGATCAAATGATGATCTGCTGGAGTAGTGTGGGCCGCGATGTAGAGAATCAAACACGTTAGTGCGGTGCAAATCAAACTGTGGAATGGACTTTAGGCCCAGCGACAGTTCAACGCGGATAGTTTCGTCGTATGAGGAATATTGTGAGGTCGCACGATCTGTGCATTCGTGCTTTAATTTGATTGGTCTGTCATGTGACTAATTATTATGCCCACCAAAATACCCCTAAACAGAAATAATAAATGGAATTAAATCGAAAACCAAACTTCAAAATTACACCTTATTAGAATTCCAATCACAGGGCATGTGAGCCTATCATAACCCTCGAGTTCTTTATTAAAATAATAATTATAATTATAAAATAAACTCAATTTTACTCATTGTTGCTGATAGTTTTATTCATGACATGTTTGGTAATGATTTTATAGAGATTTAATGATAAGTGATATTGTGAATTTTATTTTTATATAATTATTTTAATATTTAATTACACGTATTTTAAAATTATTTTCATATTTATTTGACATAGAGAGAGAAAATAAACTAGATATAAACAAAAATCTCAGATGGTGAGATACAAAAATTGTAGAAAGAGATGGGGACTAAAAATTTAGGGAGAAATTACAAAATTGGTAAAGAGAAACAAATTGGAGGTAGCGTAAAAAAAAATTAAAGATAAATAAAGTTGGGAAGAAACAAAAACTGTCAGGGGAAAAAATAAAATTTCTCTAAATTTAAGGTTAAAATAAGATGAAATGGAAAGATAAAGTTGAAATTTAGAACCATAACCATTTTAAAAATTAATTTTTTATTAAAATTTCGGGCAAAAATAACCCTACCTCCAAAGTGGTTGACTGAAATTGCTTAAATCTGAGTTTGGATTTTTTCAGAGCACTTGAGAATTATTGTCATTTATAGCAAATTTCTATAAATATTTTATGGTGATTTCCACAATATTTGAATGGGGATTGTTTATTCTTATATTGAATGAATATAGAATTATTGAGTGTTCAACATTGTGGTCTCGTGGTGTCCCACAACCCTACATTCCTTAATTTGATTGGTTATTTGTAATTATTAATTATTTTACTATATATCCATCTAAAAAAAAGGCCACAATACTATGTCTTCTTAATAATAAATGGTATTATATGGACAATTTTTCATCAACTACCTCATAGTTCATTTAATAAGTCAAATYCTATACAACACAATTCTTTAGTTAGAAAACGAAAATAAATAACATTTTTTCAGTACAATATATAGAATGTGTGGAGATTTTAATTTTTGATCATAAAGGAACGAATTATGTATSGTTGACTAATAAATAACTATGTTAGAAAAAGTATGAAAAATATTGGTGAAACTTAAAATTACAAAATAATTTTTAAGAGTAGGTAATGGACCTATTTAATTTCAAATGGCTTGTTTTGTATTTAGAAAAAATTCCTAAAAAGGTAATTTTTCAATATAATATATAGGTCATCCAGCGAAAATTTCAACTGATTAGAAGAGTTCAAACATTTAAAAAAATATTTATATATATATTTTTTTAATCATGATTCCATTTACATGTAACTTACCTCTTGAACACACCAACAGTAAATAATTGTAATTTACTAAAGGATACAGAGTGTCCTACTCCCCAGAAATATCTCATATATAAACCTTTCCTATGTACAGAGATATTCTAGACAAAATCAAATCACGATATTATGAAAAAAGTCAACTCTTATCTTTATAAATTTGATTTAAGAGGAAAATATATTCATGTAAAAATGCAGGACATCACGAAAACTAATATTTTAAGATGTATAATATGTATTATAGTRTAGAAATATTTAATGAACAAGTTATAATGTCATAATTGCGTATAGTTTAGAACAATCTTTTTCATATTTTATATCAGATGATGGAAAAGAAACAGTGTGTGACAAGCACTTTAAATAAAACAGGGAGCTGAGATTGAGATGATGATTTTTTTTTTCTTTTTGGTGAAAATGAGATGCTTTTCTATTTTTGTGTTTTTTTTAAATATTAATATATGACATTGACGTACATCTTTGTCTAAAAAATTGTGAGTTCGATTTCGCATCCTCACATCTTGTAATCGAAAAAATTTAAACAATTGAGTACAAAATAATGTATGACGGAGGACAAAAATAATAATAAATGAGGTATGACAGGGAGAAAAAAAAATGGCGTGACATCACTCGGAATTCAAACCACGTGATCGGCACGAGACTATGACTTTGTCAAGAATATCAATAAGCTGACGAGCAAATTATCCCAAATTCCCAACAAAATTAGTTTTTTTCCTTATGTTTTAAATATCATTTTTATGAAAAAAATACTTTCAATTTTATTTTTAASTTTGTATTTTTAACTTTTATTCATTTTAATCGTTATACTTCTYTGAAAATTTGATTTTTGTTATTGTAATTTTAAAAAGTGATAATTTTGGTTTATTTTTATTTTTATATTATTTATTTCCATTACAATTTTAACATGATATTTCACGTACAAAATTTCTTAAAATATAATCATAATTTTGTATTAAAAAGTTTCTGTTAAGTATAAAGTTTGAAAATATATAAATTAAAATAAACAAAAGTTAAAATGGAGAATGTTCTAACAAGTATTTAAATTTATTTTTAAAAATAGAATGGACTAATTTATTTATTTCAGTGCAACACCATGGAACCAGGTGAGGGGTTTTTGGAGAAATTTCCTCCAACTTATTTAGCTTAGATTGACAAGTTGTATTTTTATTCGGATAACAATATATATATATATATATATATTATTTATATACAGTAAAACTGTTAAATTATACCTCGTTTGATGTATAATTACAAAAATTTGTAGTCGTGAATCCGTCCAAAAAAAATAATAATAATGAAAAGTAGAATAAAAATCTCTGCTTGCGGTTTTCTTTTTTGGGAGTATGCAATAGAAATTGAGTACAATGCGAAAGTATGTTAAAAAAATGTAGGGCAAAAATTCTTTAACTATTGACGACTTCTTGGCATACATATTTGAATTATAAAGTTGCCAAAGCTAACAAATGTTTGAATGAGGATTAGAATCTGATAGAGATTTTATGGAGATTGCACACTAAATTTTTTTAGTTCGTGGATTAAAGATTTCAACTACCAATCTTCTAGTCGATCATATATGTATTAACCAACATGCCGCCTTAAGTTGTTTTTAATAATTTGTTATTTATACTCAAATTTTCTATTTGTGATTTATGCCGGCATGAGAAATGGTAAGGGCCTATAAATACTTATACAAAGTAGTTAATAATGAGAATACCTAAATTTCACCCCAGCCAAAACAAATATTTCCACAATTTTCTAGCATATGGAAGATTAATATTCTTAAAAAAAAATAAAAATAAAAATAAAAATTAAGGGTCTACTTAGTAGATAATTTAAATTATTCATGTTTCTTATTTTAGAATACGTGTTTGATAAATTTGTCTTTTAAAACTATTTTTTGATTCTATAATCAAGTATTGAAAACAACATTCTTTAATGTTTCTAAATTCTAAATTGAGATTCAATTTCCAAATATGATATCAAATATGTAGTAAAAAATATAACTTTAGTTTTCATTGAATTAGTTGGTTTTAGATTTATATTTTGAGATCAAACCCATCSTAACATTCTCTAGAAATAGAATAATAGATTTGCCTCTTAATATCAACAAAGCTTTCCTTATAAACATTAATTTCGTAGCCTATCAAACAACTTTCCTTGTCCACAAATATTCGCAAGCTTTCCTTATAAACATTAATTTTTTGAGGAACATTTAAACCCACTTTGCACTTTCACCACTTTATAATGATAATAATTTGGTTTTAATTAAAGGATTTAGTCAATAAACAAATCAGTCTACAAAATAAAACATCCAAAACAAGGAGAAATTGAAACACGTGTATGAAAAGTAATTCAAAGCTTGGCTATAGAAATTTGGTGTTCATGCGCTGTCCCCTAAAATTCAATTATTATGCCATTGAATCGAACTTACAAATCAGTGCCCACCACAAATGGTCAACGCACTTGTTTACTCTCCACCAAGATTTCACTTTTAATTTTAATTCAATTAAAATTAAATATACACAACAAAAATATTTGAAAACAAATTTATGGCAAAATTTAATATATGAAATATAATGTTAAAATTATTATTGAAAGAAATTAAATACCAAAATGATCATTTGAAAAAAAAAATACTAAAATGAATTGCAATCAGTTTAATTTTTTTTTAATTATTTTTAGTGGACAATGGAACCCCAATATCTAATACTGCCTTTGCTTGTCAAAAGATGGTGGCCATAAATGAAAAGTTTGACCTGTGTCATAGTGATTTTGGTAAGAAGATTAATTTAATAATAGTCATATTATATATTTAAAGATCTGAGAGGAATTTTAACTAATTTCAAAACTTTGAAAAAGACTACCAAGATAAACCTACATCCTGTTACATGTCCAGGTTCAAACCCCATTACATGCGAAACGCCATTTTCTAAAAATATTTTCTCAAACAAAATATATATCTTCTATTTGTTTAAATTTGAAATTTTTTGAAATATTATTATTTTTTATTTAAAGCTATTATATTTTCTTAAAAAACAAATAAATAGGTATCAAACATATATTTAATTATTTATTTTTTCTTTTAAAAAGTGAATTGTAAAAAAAAAACAGAAAATAGAAAACGAGAAACGAGAAAATGAAGACGGACTCTTAAACTGCGAGCTTAACACTTGAACAAGGATGGAAAGGGTTGCTCGACAAGGGTATACAACACTGTTTCAATAAATTGCATAAGAAATTATTCAAAGAAGAAAAAATAGAAAATTTTATACGGTCGTTTCAAATAGTTAGGATTTCTTTGCGTAGTTTTGTTTCAATTTCAAGCTTCATTCTTTATGATTGATTTTACATATTTCGGATTTTATTTCATTTAGATAGAAGCAAAAAGTAGGAGATAATACTTATGGATAGTGGAATGAAACCAACACCTATTTTAGGATTTTTGTTGCTTGTTCTGTGAATTAGTGATGTTCTTATGATGGATGACGACTGCATCTATAACAAAGATGTAAATAATAGCGTAAGCAAAATAAGTTATTCAAATAATTTTGCTTTTTAAAGAAGAAATAAAAACTAAAACCTTTCGCTTAAAGCTAAAAACAGAGCAGAAAATAAAAAGTAAAAAAAAAAAAAGAATAGAAATTATTATCAGATACTTATTAAATTTATTTTATATGCCAAACAACAAACCGACCTTAGCTCAGTTGGTAGAGCGGAGGACTGTAGTGGGTCAAAAGCCTTTCAGATAATCCTTAGGTCGCTGGTTCGAATCCGGCAGGTCGGA